GCATATCCCTCCCTCCTGAATCAGTTCCCCAGGGTCTCTGCCGCTTCCTTCATCAGCCTCACCGATGTCTAGCCTTGGGTTTGGGGGGATGGCACTCCCCTCAAGCTGTCAACAGTCAGGCTTAGGTTATGCTGTGACCACAGGAGTCACAGTGCGCTTTCCCGGTGCCAGCCAGAGTCAAACAGCAACACTGAACCACGGAATGACCATAGAAGGAAGTCCAACCGAGGGGGGACTTTTTGCACACTGGCCATTTTAAGGGTTGTTTTTTTTTTTTCCCCTCTCAAATATCAAAAGCAACTTTTAAAACGTGTATTTTGAGACCGCACCTGCTTGGCTGAGACCCCAAACATATTCTTAACTGTCAGCAGGCAATCTATTGCAGGAGGAATGGGTCTCACCTCCCCCCTCCTCCCTCAGGCCCCACACTCAGCATCATCCCTTCCTGGGAACTAGATGCTCAGGCCTGAAGTCCTTGGGACTGTTCTGTGCCCCTTCCAGCTACCTGACTCTCCTTCCTTTTTATTCCCTTCCCCTCCCCTCAGTTTTTGTTTTTTATGGAACCCAGCCACCTATACCCACTGTTGGTTCCTAGACTTAACCCTCTCCAGCCTGGCTTCTGAGCACCTACCCCCAACCCAGATGGTTCCCCCCACTGACTTCCTTCTTGCCTGAACCATTGACCTGATCTTAGCATGGGATTTAGAGTCAGAAGGCTGAGGCAGGAGCCCTGACAATGAGCAATTTAAACACTTCTCTGAGCCAGGCACAGTGACACACGCCCGTAATCCCCGAGCTCTGGAAACAGAAGCAAGAGAACCAGAAGTTCAAGGCCACCTTGGTCTGTATAGAAGTCCCTGTCTCAAAAACAAAAACAAAAACAAAAAACAAAAAAAAAAAAAAAAAAACCGAAGAGCCGGGGGTGTGGCTCATCATCCTAGATTGCTTTTCTGGCATGCATCAAGCCCCAGAGCTCTGGGTTCCATCCCTAACGCTGCATAAATCCGGGTGTGTGGTGCACATCTGTAATCCCAGCATTCGGGAGCTGGAGGGAGGAGGATTAGAAATTCAAGGTGATTCTCAGTAATATAGTGAGTTTGAGGCCAGCTTGATTGCATGGGACTTTGTGCCAAAAAAGCAAGACAAAACCAAAAAAGCATTTCTCTAGGCTTTGAGTCTGTCACCTTGAAAATAGTTCACAATCTCTGCTTCCAGTGAGTGTCAAGGGTTCTGAAAGATCCAAATAGGACATCACGAGGATCTACCTTACCATGCAGATGTGGGGTACTGAGGCCTGTGACGGTGCTGGGAAAACTGTCTGGTGGCCACGTGCACAGATTTAGAATGACTTCAGACCGAGGCAGACTCCGGCGAGAAGGTCGGGGTACTGGTCAGCGCTGGCCTGAGTCCATCGCTGGGTGTGTGGACTTGAGTAAACCCCAGTTTTCTCATCTCTAAAATGGAATTATGAATGAATGCTTATTTGTAGCAATGAAATGAGTGCGTTGGAGTGAAGGAATCATCACATCCTCCCCTGCCCCTTCTTCCATGTCTGCCATGTGTCAGTCACTGTGTGAAAAACTTGCAGCACATAATCTCACAGAACCCTCTCTATAACTCTTTGAAGTAGATCCCCGGGAACCAGGCCCTTGAAGGGCCTTCAGCAAGTAGAGCACAGACCCCACAGCTGAGTTACACCCCAGTTTCCCCTATTTTACAGACGAAGAACTGGAGTTACAGATAGACAAAGTGACCTACCTGAGGTCCCACAGCCAAGAGGCCTCATTCTAAAGCTCTGACTTCTCTCTGCAAGATGCTAAGCACTGGCAAGGGGGAGGCGTGGCTTTTAGCATCAGGAGAGAATCCAGGAGTCAGCATGGGGAATTGCCCCAGCCTGGGGCTAGGGCCGGGAAGGATGCTTGTGGGAAGCTGGGGTCTAGTGATGCACTTCGTGGGGACACCTGTTTCATCCCAGACAGGGAGCTTGTCTCCCTCGCATCCTGCTGGAGCCTCTGAGGCCTGCCTTTCCCTATCCTCTCCAGCAAATTTGGGAGAAGCAGACTTGGAATTCCCCCGAGCTAGACCGAGGGTGCCATTCCTCATCTCTGAGGTTGGCCTGTCTGGGCTGTGTCACCTAGCCAGTGACTCAGGACTCCAGGTCTAGCCCCATCCTACGTAAGGGGTTCAGAGTCCAAACAGTGATTCCAGGTCAGGAGGTCAGAGGTCCAGGGGGTCAGGGTTGTGCCTGCTAGGGGGGCACTTCCTGCTCTCTGTCTCCTTTCTTGGGTCCTTAGATAAATTCTGTTGTAGTGTTGGGGGAGCTGAGGAAGTGGGGAAGGGGATGTGGTAACCAGAACCACTTCCTGGTATGGCTGTGTTGAAAACCAAGCTTCCCCCAAGTTCCCTTTGATGGGGGTTGGTGAGCAGGGTGTGTGTGTGTGTGTGTGTGTGTAAAGGAGGAAGTTGGGGGTGGGGAGAGGAGAGCTCTTGCTTGGGTGGACGCCAAGCCCTGGAGTTCCCAGTGGGTGCTCTCTTCTCCGTTGGTAAGAACTACCACAAACCCTGAAGGCCAGCGTAGAGAGCAGTGGTAACCATCACTTACACAGTGTGACAGACCCCAGGACAACAGGCCCACACAAGAAGCACTGTTACCAGCGCCATTTAATAGATGAGGAAAATGGTGGGTTGTGTCAGGAGCTGGAGTCACACAATGAGCTGCAGCTTGAATTTAGGTAGTCGGATCCAAGAGTGAGCACTCCTATTGCCCTGCACACCCCCTCCGCTGTTTTCCCCATCCGCATGGTGGAGGAAATTGGAGTGGATAGGTACACCTCCATTTTTGGTGTTTGTATTTCTGTTAACTCTTTTTGTTTTGTTTTGTTTTTGTTTTTTAAGACAGGGTTTCTCTGTGTAGCTTTGCACCTTTCCTGAATCTCGCTCTGTAGACCAGGCTGGCCTCGAACTCACAAAGATCCTCCTGCCTCTGCCTCCCAAGTGCTAGGATTAAAGGTGTGCGCCACCGCCACCCGGCTTCTGTTAACTCTTTCTGTTTCGTTTTGTTCTATAAAATAATTTTCTAACCAGTCACAGCAGTGTAAACCTTCAATCCCAGCACTCAGGAGGCAGAGGCAGGCAGGACTGTGAGTTTGAGGCCAGCCTGGGCTACACAGTGAGCTTCAGGCCAGCTAGAGCTCCCTGGTAAAACCCTGCCTCAAACCAAACACACACTCACACACACCACGCACGCACGCACGCACGCACGCGTGTGCACACAAATCCTTATTACATTTTCTCCGTGTATGTCTGCATGGGTGTGTATGTGCCACAGTTTGGATGTGGAGGTCAGAGGACAACTTGTCTCTTCCACTATGTGAGTCCCTGGGATGAACTCAGGTCCTCATGCTTGGTGACAAGTGCCTTTAGGTAAAGGCCATTTCACGGAGCCATTTATTTCACTGGTAACTGACTATTTATTAATCCCTTTTCTACTGGACTGTCAGCCCAACAAGCAAGGGACAGAAGGGGAACTACTAGCCTGCCTTCTTCCTCCTTTTCCTCTTGTTTCTTAGCTATGGTCTCATATAGCCTAGGTTAGAACTTGCTATGTCAGAGATTGGCTTTGAACTCTGATCCTCTTGCTTTCACTCTCCAGGCGTTGAGGGTCAGCTAAATTGAGCAGGCATTCAAGATTTGAGGATCAAACTGGGCATAGTGGCGCACACCTTTAATCCCAGCACTTGGGAGGCAGAGGCAGGCGGGCTGCTGAGTTCATTTCTGGTTTACAGAGCGAGTTCCAGGATACTCAGGGCTAAACAGAGAAACCCTGTTTTGAAAAAACAAAAAGCAAAAAAACACCACAACACTCACCAGATGTTCTTCCTTCCTCCCTCACCCAGGGAACTGGTGTGCCCATGTCATGAGCCCCCCTGACACACACTTGCAGAAATCATCAGGAGTCCAAATTCATGAGCAAAAGCAAAGAGCCTTTATTGTAAGCTCAAGCTTGGGCTTCCCAACTGTTCTGACACAGCGGTTGGATTAGGGAGAGCCCTGAGCAGGGTTTTTAAGGAGTAAAGGATGTAGGTATAAGGGAATTCCAGATTCAGATGGGGGTTGAACTCCTTCCTGATTGGGCAGGAGTGAGGTAACAGAAGTTTTGTCAAGCAGGGACTGGTACTGGCGTTGCTGCAAGGAAATTGGCAACCATATACAAGTGATGTAAGCTATCCTTTATGTCTTGGAGCATTTAGTACTTGCTTGTCTCCGTTCTGATTGGTCTCCCGTAGGGTACAGTTTGTGGCTTTTCCTGGTTATTGTAATGGTGAGGCCCAGCCCCAGTGTTGTTAGTCTGCAGCCTGTCATGGCTGCACGGATGTTAAGTTAGGCCTCTTCAGGAACATTTGGCAACACTGCTGGTTGTCCCAACTGGCAGAGGCGG